ATATCAAAGTCTGGTGTTCCAAATTCAGAGGCCCATTTTTTTATTCGTATAAATTTGGGGATACAAGTGTAGTTTTGATACATAGATAAATTACATAGTAATGAAGTCTGGGATTTTAGTGTAACCATCATCCAAATAGTGTATGTTGTACCCATTAAGTAATTTCTCATCCCTCACTTTCTTCCCAACCCTCCTGTCCTCCCGCCTCCAGTGTCTGTTCTTCTAAACTCTATGTCAATGTGTACATAGTTTTTAGCTCTCACAAATGAGAATATGTGGTATTTGACTCTCAGAGTTATTTCATTTAAGATAATGGCCTCCAGTTCCATCCATGTTGCTGCAAAAGACATGATTTCATTCTTTTTTATGGCTAAGTATATATGGTATAGATATACACCACATTTTCTTTATCCAATCATCCACTGATGGAAACTCAGGTTGATTCTGTATCTTTGCAATTGTGAATAGTGCCATAGATACCTACAAGTGCAGGTATCTTTTTGATATAATGATTTCCTTTCATTTGGGTATATACCCAGTAGTGGGATTGCTGGATCAAATGATAGTTTTATTTTTACTTTTCTGAGAAATCTCCACACTGTTTTTCATAGAGATTGTACTAATTTACATTCCCACCAACAGTGTATAAGTGTTCCCTTTTCTTGCCAACATCTGTTTTTTTAAAATAGCCATTCTGACTGATGTAAGATAATATCTCATTGTGATTTTAATTTGCATTTCTCTGATGATTAGTGATGCTGACTATTTATATGTCTCTTTTTGAAAAATGTCTGCTTATGTCTTTTGCCCACTTTTTAATGAGGTTACTTGGTTTTTGTTGTTGAGTTGTCTGAGTTCCTTGTAGATTCTGGATATTAGTCCCTTGTCTGCTGCATGGTTTGCAAGTATTTTCTACCATTGTTCAGGATGCCTGTTCACTCTGTTACTTATTTTGCAGTGCAAAAGTTTTTAGTTTAATCAAGTCCCATTTGTCTATTTTTGGTTTTGTAGCAATTGCTTTTGAGGTCTTAGTCATGAATTCTTTGCCAAGGCCAATGTTGGGAAAAGTTTTTGGTTAGGTTTACCTCTAGTATTTTTATATTTTCAGGTCTTATATTTAAATATTTAATCCATCTTAATTTTTATATATGGTGAGAGATAGGGTTCCACTTTCATTCTTTTACATATGGCAGTCCACATTTTCCCAGCACCATTTATTGAATAGCATGTCCCTTCCCCAATGTATGCTTTTGCCAATCCTGTCAAAGACCAGTTGGCTGTAGGTAAGTGGCTTTATTTCCAAATTCTCTATACTGTTGCATTGATCTATGTGTCTATTTTTAAACTAGTACCATCCTGTTTTGGTTACTCTTGCCTTGTAATATAATTTGAAGTCCATTAATGTGATGGCTCCAGCTTTGTTCTTTGTGCTCAGGATTACTTTGGCTATTTGGGATCTTTTTTGGTTAATATTAATATTAGAATTGTTTTTTTCTAATTTTGTGAAACAATGAAGTTGGTATTTTGATAGGAATTGCTTTGAATCTGTAGATTGCCCTGCTTTAGAAAATATGGCCATTTTAACAATATTGATTCTTCCAATCCATGAGCATGGGATGTTTCCATTTATTTGTGTCATTTACAATTTCTTTCATCAATGTTTTATAATTTTCCTTGTGGAGATCTTTCACCTTCTTGGTTAAATACATTCCTAGGAATCTTGTGCGGGGTTTTTTGTTTTGTTTTGTTTTTTGTAGCTATCCTAAATGGAACTGACTTCTTGATTTGGTTCTTAGGTTGGTTGTTATTGGTGTATAAAAATGCAACTGGGCCGGGCGCGGTGGCTCACGCCTGTAATCCCAGCACTTTGGGAGGCCAAGGTGGGCAGATCATAAGGTCAGGAGATCGAGACCATCTTGGCTAACATGGTGAAAACCCATCTCTACTAAAAATACAAAAAATTAGCCGGGCGTGGTGGCGGGCGCCTGTAGTCCCAGCTGAGGCAGGAGAATGGCGTGAACCTGGGAGGTGGAGCTTGCAGTGAGCCGAGATCTCACCACTGCACTCCAGCTGGGGTGACAGAGCGAGACTCGGTCTCAAAAAAAAAAAAAAAAAAAGCAACTGATTTGTAAACACTGATCTTGTATCTTGAAATGTTACTAAATCACTTATTAAATCTAGGAGTCTTTGGAGGAGTCTTTAAAGTTTTCTAGGTATAAGATCATATTGCTAGCAAATAATTTGACTTCCTCTTTTAAAATTTGGATGCCTTTTATTTTTTCTCTTGTCTGATTGATCTGGCTAGGACGTCACATGTATGTTGTTTTTTAAAAAAATTATGTCACATTTAAGGATAATTATTTATATTGTTATTGTAAATAAATGAAAGCTTGCCATGCTAAGATTTTGATAATCAAGTTTAGTCTGTTTTTATTTAGGAACAAATTGTTTACCTCGATTTAAAAAGTTCCCTTACCATTATAAATTAAGAACAACTTCAAAATGTGGATAGCATCTCAAGTACAGAACCAACCTGATAAAAAGTTCCAAATATGAAATCTAAGTTTTAAATGAAATTTGTGTCTAAAACCAATGTATCACCATAGTACAACTTATTATCATCTAGCTTTTAAAGAAAGACTTTCAAAAAAATTAAAATGGACTTTTTGAATAGTTACCAGTTAAGGATAATGTAGTTTTGAGGAAGAAGGTATTTCTTTTAGCTTTCTGTATTGGAAAGTGTGAAATACAAATGATAATGTTCAATAGAAAGTAATGAAATGTTTTCACATTTCAAAAATCACTGAGATCTCTGGCTTTATTCAATAATGACCTTATTAATAACAAATAGTAAGTAAATCATTCCTTTAAAAATAAAGGCTTTAACCTATAACATGACCTCACCCACATCCCAAATGCTCTAGTAGCCTTTCCAGATAAGAGAAGTCTGTACAAAGGCCATAAAACAAAACAAAACAAAACAAAACCTCTCCCTATTCTATGTTTTCTTATAATATGTTTCCTTTTTTAGGCTGTTTCATTTATGAGCTGCTTATTGCCTCTTTTGATCTCTATAATGGGCTTTATGGATTTTATTAAAAGAGTAACAGTTAAACTTGTGAAACTGGAGATATGAGTAATAAAAATGGATTTTTAAAACCTTTTTCTGCTCAGATTTTCATTTCACTACCTTATTCTCAGATTTTCATTTTAATTACTTTTCAGATTTTTATTTCAACGCCATATTTCATATATACAACCAACAACTTTGAAATAACAAAACAGTATTTGGCAGGATTACATGTTCAAGCAATGGAACCAAAGCAAGATTGTGGTTTAAACAAAAAACGACAGTTTAAAAGACCATTTTCTTACTCCACATATCTGCTTCCCATATATCTTGGAAATACACTTATTTATTTATTGTATAAGCAATATTATAATTCTTAAAAAATTTACTATTGCATAATATCATCTAATGAGCAGAAACTTGTTTGCAAACAATAGAGAAGATTGTATTTCTGCCATTTCTACATAATAGCCCAAAATGTTCTAAATGAGAAAATATTGGTGAATTTGTGGTCATGAATGTCTTAAAATGTCTCCATGATTTGACTGTTTTGACAAAGTCAAAGAAATTGGACCATTATTTCTTTTCTCAAGGCAACTTCTGGGCTTACTGGATGACAGACAAATTGCCCAAGTCATTGGTAGCTTTAGTATGACCTTCTGGTACTGTTCTTTACGGAGGGAATTGGTTTTTATTTACACATGGTTCTTAGGCTTAGGTTCAGGTACCTTGAACCACTGTTACCAGAGCTCTCCAAAACTTAATGCGTTACGTGAACACAAGATTTGATGAAACAGTTACAAAACAGCATGATCCTATTTTATTTTAAAAAGAAAATGAAATATATAATGAAATGTATAATGCATGTGTATGCACACCCGCACCCCCCGCCCCCCGCCGCCCCATAGTTATGCACCAAATGGCAGCATAACATAGTGGTGAAAAGGTTGGGTTTTGGAGTCACACAGATCTAGGTTAAACTTCCAGCCCCAGCACTTAATCTCCACTCTTCTTAGACTCAGTCAACTGAGAAGACTTAAAAATAGTACATGGTAGAGGCTTCAAAGTGCTTAAAATTGTGTCTTTATAAACTATGAATACTCATTCCCACGCTCTTCCAGCCATACCTGTGATTCTTCGTTCCACGCTAACCAGCCAGGCTCAGATCTCTCAATGCTTCTCCACCAATATTGGGTCCTGGAGTATGCTGTTGTGGTTCAAAGTTCTTAAACTCAGTGTTCATAGTGTCTAACCTGCCTACCCATCACTGTCTAAACATCCTGTAGATCTTTTTAAGCCAATGCCTAAGTTACTCTATTATAAGAACATGCCCATCTCTACCACTCCTTGATTTGAGTCTTCTGAGACTCCTCTCATGACCTCAACTTCATAAATCCTTATTCTTAAACACATCCTTTGAACACTAGGATCTTTTTGTTTAGGTCTCCAAAGACCAATCTTTTTCTCAAAGGATCTGCTAAAGGCAAATGATTCAACATCTTTGGTGTCCAGATTAATGCAGTTTTATTGTACACTAAGAATATCCATTACTAATTAGACCTTGGATATTTATATATTTAGATTTAATTTAAAATGAATACCATTATGCAGTGTTTCATTTTATGCAACCTCTCTTTATGATATACCATTAAGAAGAGTTTCTTGTGTTGCTGTGTAACTTAGATAAAAATAAGCTGGGTGTGGTGGCTCATACCTGTAATCTCAGCACTTTGGGAGGCTGAGGCAGGCAGATCACTTGAGATCAGAAGTTCAAGACCATTCTGGCCAACATGGTGAAACCATGTCTCTACTAAAATTACATAAATTAGCCAGGTGTGGTGGCACGCACCTGTAATCTCACCTACTGGGGAGGCTGAGGCACGAGAATCACTTGAACCTGGGAGGTGGAGGTTGCAGTGAGCCGAGATTGTACCATTGCACTCCAGCCAGGGTGACAGAGTGAGACCCTGTCGCAAAAAAAAAAAAAAAAAAAAGATTAAAAATAGGAAATGTAATCACATTTAAAGAAGGACCATAGGGTCTAATGTTTCTAAGTTAGAAGAAAGGTCTTTTTTCTACAACATCAGTTTTTTAAACGAAAAGCAGATTACAAAATATCACAGTGGGCAGTACTCTTACTTTGTAATTTATCCAATTACCTAACAGGGGAGGTTCTGTTCAGTCATACCAAATGTTTACACAACATTGTAGACAGCACAATCAATTTTAAAGTGCTTTCTGTTACCTGCTTTCTGCAAATAAAACCATCCTCTGGCTCTTGGGTAGATCCACTATAATTGCTAATTTCAGTGCTTTATAGGATCTCATAAAAAGAAGCAAGGATAGAAGACTGGGTTGGAAACAGGTGTAGGGTGGGGATTTCAAAGCTCAGAATTTGAGATTAGTGTAGGCAAGAAAGGAGGGATGACGGCCAGAAAGCATACAGCTCCAGCATGAGTTTCTGGAAGGACCTGATTGTAATCGTTATGCTGGAGGCTCTATTGCTTCTTCATTCTTCACACTTCACTATTCCCCATTGTTTTTTGAAAAGTCTTTTTTTTTCTTGGCAAACCACCCTCATAAAGATGCTGACAATGGGAAAAGACACAGGGCCCTGCTAATCGTAAAGACACTGATTTATAGTAAAAGTAAGAATCTTTTCTTCTTAGGCAGGGTAACTAATGACTATAGTGATGTCTTGGAACTAAAATGAGCAGCAATTTTAATATATAATGGGAAAAACAAATTGAAACTAAGCAAAATCACCATTGACAAAATTTGTGCCTAAAGTGGAATGGGCCCTGAAACTCTACTTTTTTTTAATATAGGTAATTTGTTTACATGTTAATGCCTCTCTTCCTTCAGATTTGTCACTTGAGTGGTTAACAGAACTTTTTGATTTTGTGAGGAAATGAACATGCTCTTTAAAAATCAAAGAACATGTAGAATTCACTGAAAAAAAAAACTCATTTACCAAACATTTCATTTTTATTCAAAAATACACACTTTTAAATATTTTCTTAGAAATGCAACCAACTTCCTCATTCTGATAAAATGCACAAAATGCATTTACAGTGCAATTTTCAGCTCTGACCTTGAGAATTTTAGCACTAGTGCAATTTGCCATTTATGCAAAAATAAGTTCTACTTACAGTATTATAAATTGTATGTATCTTATACAAAGTTATAAATTCTTTTCAAAAGAGTAGACTATTTTTTAAAGCACACTGATTAATTTTCGTGATATAATTTTGAACAAGTAGGCATGGCTCATTTACTATACCTTAACAATTTACAATATCATATATGCAGAAATTATATCATATGTATTTATTTCTACAACTACATTTCTTCAAAATATACCTTTTTGATTACTCTTATTTTCCTGGAAGAACAGCATTGTAGATAATGTGCTAGTGAATATTTTGAGTTTGGTTCCAATAAGTTTGCCCTAAAATAAAAAACAAATGTATATGACAAGTTTAATTATTACAAAGAGAACTGATATAAGCAGTCAATTCTTTCTTATAAAAGATATTTCTAATTTAGAATATTGCACAAGGAAGAATCTGTTCTACCAGGAAAACAGAAGGAATTAACTACTTAGAATTTAAATCAGACTTGTAACTATATCTAGTTATGATATTACTTTTGTTGAAGCAAATCCTTCTATTACATTCATAGAACACAGATATAGAGGAACAACATTGCAGTTAACTTTAGGTACAAATGAGTGGCTGGTTTTATTTTCTGTCAATTGCTTTACTTAGGGTACCATGGAGAGAAAGAACAACATAATATAAAATTTTGCATAATTTTTTCTTCATTTTCAGATGGAGTCTCGCTCTGTCACCCAGGCTGGAGTGCAGTGGCGCGATCTTGGCTCACTGCAAGCTCCGCCTCCCGGGTTCATGCCATTCTCCTGCCTCAGTCTCCCGAGTAGCTGGGGCTACAGGTGCCTGCCACCATGCCTGGCTAATTTTTTGTATTTTTAGTAGAGATGGGTTTTCACCATGTTAGGCAGGATGGTCTCGATCTCCTGACCTCATGATCCACTCGCCTCAGCCTCCCAAAAAAATTTTGCATAATTTTTAGAATGGTGTATGTGCTTGGACAGAGAAACGCTGTAAAGCAATGTATATGACATATAAACATTTTATAACCAATGCATTTGTGGTTTATGTGTGTTATTGATACAAATTATAACAAAATAACACATGCAGTTGACCCTATATCATATGACATTTTCAGACCATATTATCTTCAATTGTTTTTAAAAAAATCTCTGAAGACGTCATTTGTCAGTTGTATGGGTAGCTCATTATGTGGCCTTAATGTAGTATTTGCATACTTCATTTGACCCTTCATTGAAAAAATGATTGATAAATTAGTTTTGCTTATTTTTAAGGTAAAAATGAAGTTTTTGATGAATCAGATTAATTATTCAATAGTAGATAAAGTAGGCAATGTCAAGTAAGAATTAATCCATGTTCTGTAAGTAAAAGTTTTCATTAATTTACTATTTTGCCTTCAAGTCTAATCATTGAATATATACACATGCAATTTTCAGCATAGAAGTCATAGATTAATAATAAGAAAAAAAAGTTCTTAATTAACTAGGATACCTATATATTAAGGATATGAGCTTTTCAGTTGTCATCCATATGTTGTATTTTCTCCCATACACAGGATGAAAAATAAACTTCAAAAATGCCACAAATGGAATCAAAAGTCAAACTATAAAGTTGGCAGAATCATCCTAACAAATGTATGGGGATCATATCCTTCATATACAAAATGTATAGACAAATTTCCCCAAGAAAAGTGGGCACTGAACAGGTAAGTCACAGGGATATATTCTTAGTGGTTGATGTAAAAGGTCAAAACTTTGGAAAACTGTTCAATATTACCATAAAACCAAGAAATGCAAATTAAGATGAGATGCCACTTGTTTAAAAGCCTACATTTAAAGGAAATACCAATATTTAGTTTGTATAGTTGTGGGAAAATGGGTGCTTCTTGTTTTTTGTAAATTCTTGGATAATTCATTTAGGCAAGAATCCTGTTAATGGGGATTCTGCTAGGGATAATAAAATTGATAAAATTATGGATATTAGTCATGTCAGTTAGTTTCAGGCACGGGATAGTAATAGGGTTGTGGTGCCTGAATTCAGGTTGAGTGCTAGGAATGCAGTAGTTGTAAGAATAAAATAAATAATTAGGTTAAAGATGGTAATATTTGGGTTATATATTAGTACCGCTATTATTCAGCCTATATGGGTGTACAAATTTACGGGGGCACAAACTTTAAAAAATCTTTATGCCTGGCTGGGTGCAGTGGCCCACACCTATAGCCCCAGAACTTTAGGAGGCTGAGGAAGGCTGATTTCTTGAGCTCAGGAGTTTGGGACCAGCCTGGGCAACATGGCAAAACCCCCTCTCTACAAAAAAAATACAAAAGTTAGCCGGGTATGGTGGCACGCACCTGCGGTCCCAGCTACTTCTGAGGCTAAGGAGGGAGCACTGCTTGAGCTCAGGAAGCTGAGGCTGCAGTGAGTTGCAATTGTGTCAGTGCACTCCAGCCTGGCCACAAAGTGGGACCTTGTCAAAGATAAACATATCATTGTCTATAACAGAAAAAAACTGAAAACAACCAAAATCAAAATTTATAAGGGATTTGTTAAATAAATTAAGGCATATACTAATATAATTGGATATATAAAATCAAAAATATTCATAAAGAATATTGAAAGATGTAAGGAACATTCCCCAAATATTAAGTGGAAAAGCATTTAATAAAACAGTATATCACCAATAAATACATCGCTATACATTATATATATATATGATTGACTATACATCCAAATATAAATAATGATTATGGTGTTACGATTACAGACGGTTTTCCTTTCTTTACCCTTTTCCATATTTAAAACATCTTCTATAATAACCATGTTAATGATCCAATACTGTTTCCCCTAAGGATATTTCAGAATTAAGCTATTCCATTTATGCCACTAACCAATTACGCAGTGTCCAGAGTCAGGCGAAAGAGAAACAGGCTTACTCAAAAACAATAGCACAATGTTCAAAGTACTTTCTTCTAGTGGAAACAACAGAAGTAAAGGACATGCAAAGACATGTCCTACAAAGACATATATTACTAATGCCTAATATATGGCCTCAGTGTCCCCTGCTCTGTATATATCCCCACCTAGAAAATGCCACCCTAAGTTATGTTCTCATCATTGTTTACTCACAACTGAACGGCACTGCAGTGGCATTGGCTCCTTATTCCCAAGACGAGTCAGTGGGGACTTTTGAGGTCTGCCATCCAAAACCAATTAATCCCTAGTACATGTGAGTTATAGTTTGAAAATAACGTTCCCTTTTCTAGTGGTCAGCCTGATCCTGGAGTATATACCTTTTCAATATCAGATGAGTTAAGCTAATGAATGAATATTCTACACCAAACCAATCTTCTTTGACTAGTTTTCTTTCCTTCCAAAAACAGCTTGTACTCTTATTTTTTCTTTGGAAGCCACAGTCTACCATCAAAGTTCCCTGAGAAAAATTTTGACAATTGAAAGAACTGGATTCAGTATGTTCATGCACAAAGTCCTGATTCAGTACCAAGAAATGCTATTTTTATATTTTTAGATAGAATAAACAACTGAAATCCTAATCCTTTATTAAAGATCTCTTAAGAATTGTTGTGAGGTGACCCAAATATCCCTTACCACATGCCCTCTGCATTTAAAAATTTTTCTTTTTTCTTTTTTTTTTTTGAGATGGAGTCTTGCTCTGTCACCAGGCTGGAGTGCGTTGGTGCGATCTTGGCTCACTGCAACCTCTGCCTCCCGGGTTCTAGCAATTCCCCTGCCTCAGCCTCCCAAGTAGCTGGGACTACAGGTGTGCGCCACCACACCTAGCTAATTTTTTGTATTTTAGTGGAGACAGGGTTTCACCATGTGGGCCAGGATGGTCTCAATCTCCTGACCTCATGATCTACCCACTTTGGCCTCCCAAAGTGCTGGGATTATAGGTGTGAGCCACCATGCCTGGCCATTAAAAATTTTTCTATAGTGTTCTGATTGCTACTTGAAATCTATCTTAAGGCTGTGGGTAAAATGTGAAAATTGGATTATAGGGAAAAATAAAAATCTTTCATGAAAACAAAGTAAAATTTCTGAAGTAAATTAACTATTAATTTTATGCAGTTGCTAAAATATTTTTATAAATTAAAAATTTTCTATTACATTTGTTGCAAAATATCATTTTACATTGTAATATATTGTTTAACTGACACATTTTAATAAAGAATACATGCGTTTTGGTAAAAGTACTGATAATATTCTTTAACATTTGTCTTCAGTCTCTCATATATAAAACATCTAATATATATTTTCTGTTATTAGTATGTTTTCATTTGCTTGAATATATTTTTCTGTCTTTTTTTTTTTTTGAGATGGAGTCTTGCTGTTGCCCAGACTGCAGTGCAGTGGCGTGGTATCAACTCACTGCAACCTCCGCCTCCCAGGTTCAAGCGATTCTCCTGCCTCAGCTTCCTGAGTAGCTGGGATTACAGGCACGCACCACCATGCCTGGCTAATTTTTGTATTTTTAGTAGAGACGAGGTTTCACCATGTTGGTCAGGCTGGTCTGGAACTTCTGACCTCGTGATCCGCCCACCTTGGCCTCCCAAAGTGCTGGGATTACAGGTGTGAGCCACCGTGCCTGGCCCTCTTTTTTTTTTTTCCCCCAAACGGGTTTTAATTGCATGTTTGTTCAAATTGTTAAGAGTACTTAAGGTAGTTTAAATTAACTCATTATATTGGAAACGTTCCTATCTTTGTAATAAACAAGCATTACATTAGTGGTTGGTGGTGAACACTTTGAGGCAAAGAACTTACATGAGTACTGCCCAATAGAACTTTCTGCAATGTCCAATACCGTAGCCACTAGGTATGCAGCTATTGAGCACTTGAAATGTAGTTAACAAGACAGAACTGAATTTTTATTCATTTAAATTAATGTAAACCTAAATAGCTAAAAGTGGCTACTGACTATCACATTAGGCAACTTAGGCTAGATGACTATCCAAAATTCACATAGGAATGGCCTGGAACCAGAAGTGAGATTAGAACTAGGGTCTTACTCCAGTCACTGATTCATGTGTGGAGCTAAGCATGCAGATAGTTTTGAGTGCATACATGCATTAGTGGGTCAACAAGTATGACAGATAGGTATTCTCCAGTGCCATAATAGTTTTGTTTTACATTTACATCATATTTTCTGTTATGTTTAAGAAGATGGTATAAAGTACTCTTACTAAACTAGTAAAATGGAAATCCTATCAAAGTCCAAATAACCAGGCTTTTTCTTGGTATTCACTTTTATGTGATAAAGACCAAATAAATGAGACAGACTTTTAATTCAGATAAACAACAT